CAGGTTCTTCGTCGTGCGACGAAACGGGCGTCAAAGACGTGGCACTGGATTTGAAATCCTGCGCTGGTATTTGAGGTGGTATTAGATCGGTATTTGGTTCTTCCGGATCCTGTTATGATAAGTATATTTATACAGCAGAATCTTTTAATCGGAAGGAATTTCGTTGCCTTCCTATTACAAATTCCATTTACTTCCTCGCATCGCTACGAACCTTGACGTAATTCTGAGTCACGCTCTGACTGTTTTGCTGCCCCAGACCTTGATTCGGCAGCTCATCAGCAATTGATGCCGCGGAATGCAACTCTTCAAGCGGCGCGGTGTATTTCACGCTGCCTTGCAAAGAATTATCTTGATCGTAGCTAGGTGGACGAGCGTAAACGTCACTGTAAACTGGCGTGGCATGCATATAAACCGTTGCGGGTTGAGTGTACACTAGCTGGGAAACGTACTGTGGCTGGGACGGAGCAATGTACGCTTGTGTGTATAGAAGTTGTCTTCCTTGGGCATATGCTTGATCCGATGGTGCGTAAGTTGGCACGCTGAATAACGCAGAGCTAGAGAATTTCTTTGAGTTAACGGGAGTTGTATAAACCGCACCCTTCGCAACCTGAAACGATGAAAGTTTCTATTTAGTTCTAGTATCGTTTCCAAAATTCCACAAATACTATGAAGGTCTACTTTCTAATAATTATTTCTCCAGATATCAACCTTGGTCGAAGAAGCAGCAGGAGCGCTATTGTATTTTGGCGCGTACTGTATTTGGTAAGTTTGCTTCCCGGCTACTATTGGCTTTTGATTTAGCGTCGATGTATAGAGAGGGATGGATATATGATTGGTAGCTGCTGTGGTTAATCGCGGTACCAATAATCCGGTTTTACCAGAACTTACATCTAAGTTCGGGTAATAAGTCAGAAGATGCATCGTGGGGATGTCGATGTATACCGGTTCTGTAAAAATTTCATTAAAGATTAAATTAAGGTCGGACCGACATTAAATGTTGCGTTCGTGTTTCACATTGTCGAGACCTTTATTCACATTTCTCGCGAAGTTCGCCGAAACTGTTTTTTGTTGTGCAACCTGCAACTGATTGCCAATATTCACTTCCGGTTGGTAAGTCAATTCTTCCGACTCATAGGCATTTGACGTGATTCCTTTTGGGGGTAATGGTGGCTGCTGTTGGTATTCGTTGTAATATCGCTGTGGTAATATTTGTTGCGGCGAGATGTTGTTTTGCTGCTGATAAACTTGTTCTTTCGCCGCGTACTTGTTAGGGTGAACGTACGTTTCTGGCTGGAACTAAATAAACATGAATTGAGTTAATCACCGATTATATAATTTGACACGATTTGTGACATTTACAACGTTTGTTTTACATTTTGCACTGGAGGTGGGGTCACGTACGTAACCGATGAACTAGTCGGTGGTCCATGATATTGATTCGGTACTTGGTAGTGTTGTTGGCTAAATTCTGGCTTTGTAAGGAATTTTGATTGCTCGGTCCGTGTAATTCCGGATTTCGATATACCTTCCACTTTTAAATTATCCCTTTCTATATCCTCCAAGTTGATCTTCTTTTCTCCATTCGCACCGATGCACAGCAAGCCCAGCATCAAATAAAATTTCTGCAAAATAAATAGCAATGTATCGTGTAACTAAGAAACTGGAAATCGTTTCTATTCAAATATAATATTACTAAAATAAAGTAAGTCAAATTTGAAATGCAATATAACTATACGCGATAGCGTAGATCGCAGCGAACGATAGCCATTATTTATATTTGGTCATATATTTGCTTCTTAACCATTGCGTTTGCTGGTAAGAAATGAACTTGCATCGGGATATACTTTCACTGATCACGAAGTTCTTGGTCAAATATCCGGTATGGAGCACTCTTTTATACACTGCACCTGGATGCAATCTCTCCGGGGGAGGGTTACTCCCATAAGCGAGTGCATCGCATCGTCGATACGAAAAAGTAAAAGTTTATGGTTCTCGTATTAATTGCGATGCAGGTACTATCAAAGTGGCACAGCCGAAATTTTCTCTTTCCATAATTTATCTTTATCTTAATTTATACGAAGATAAGACGTTGTACAGATTTCCAACGTAAATAATAGCAACTAATAGTCCAAAACAAGAGGTCACTGATAATTAAGATATTATGAGACGACTAGAAGAGCACTTACCATGTTGCTTTAATTTCAGAAAGTATGACCGCGACCCGAAGATTCTAGCTCTACTACAAAACCAATGTAGATTCACCTTCTCTTATATAGCCTTTACCCCTACCAGCAGTATGTATGTATATCTTGACGGGGCACATTTCACTCGTGTATCATAGCGTCTTTAGTGGCCCTCCTGGACCACGTGATAGGAATACCTGCTTCTCACTCAGATACAGGTGAAGGGACGGAACATCCCTTTCGTTATTAAAAATCATAGAACGTGCGATGTTACGTGCACGAGGAAAAAGGAGCATCCCAAAACTTGGTCGTATATAATACGATCGCTATATATATAGTATCGCTAATAGCAGGCTGTACGATAATATGCTAATACAACTTGGTAATACACTTCGCACGATTAAAAAATCGGTACACATCGAGTATCTGTCCTGAGAGATATTAGTTTTCTAATTTCTAGCTTCTCGTCGGACGCTATGTATTTCCCACGATGTACCAACCACGATAATTAGCCGATTCAAGAAAAACAAGCAGTTTAGTAGACGTTTACCTGTGAGAACGTATCGTGAAAAGTGAATAGAAACAAAGATATACTCCGTGGGGATCGGAAGCCGATCATTAAATAGATCTTTCTAATTTCCATTCGGTCTAATTCGTGCCAAATGCATTGTCAATGTAAGATGTGCGCCAAACATGGTACAATAGAAAGTAATCTGCTTGTAAATCGTTTCGTGTTTCCCAGTACAAAGATTTAATAATTAATTTATCGGTTAATCGGCACATCGGTCTGTGCACTTAACCTGCATCCGACAGCTACTATAATATAACACTGGAAATATATTACGATCAATTTGAATCTGTTTTACAAATACGTATATTCCCTATGTACATAAATAAGTAGTCTATGAGCGGAAGTAGATACAATGCTGGAGAATTTACGAATAAAAGTATCTAAGTATAGTCTCTTACAATTTTCGCGATGATTAAAAATACAAGAAATAAAGTCGCTATGAATACTTGACTCGAACAATTGAAGGGTGTGCTCAATATATTCAGAGAGAGAGACTTAATGATCGTCAAATTTAATGGTGACCGAGCCTGAAACCATTGTCTCGTGCGTTATTTCAAGAAGAGAATTTCAATGGGACATTCGCCATGCTTAAAGCAAAAAATTGACGCGATTTATTAACACAGAATAAAATGAAAATGACAAGTATGCCTGGACATTTTTAACGTCCGGGAAAATCTTTCTCGCGTATGAGTGAAATTTACAGGAAGACGAGGCGAAATATATCTACGCGCGAAAGAAACTTGAAAGAAAAAGAGGCAGGTTACTTTTCACTCTCAACGGCCTTCGAAAAATTTGTTTGAAATTAACGGAAGGAAAGGAGATCTTGCAGAGTCCATCATTTTCTTCGTCGCTCCTTGTCCGTGTGTAGCGCATTTCGCCGGCGATGTTCACGTTTCCGCGAACCCTTTCCTCCGGCTATGAGTACAAGTACGAGTACACACGCTCGTCAAAGCAGGAAAAAAAAAACACTTTCTATCCGCATTCTGGGTGTGGAAGCAGGGAGAATGATCTAATAAACGATGACCGCCTCGCTTGTACCTTCAGTCGAATTATCTTCAATTAAGCCGAGGAACTTTCTCGACCATACTACGGTAACGATTGCAGCTTGACAGTTCAGGATCATGATCTTGTCACGAGGTAACGGATAGTATGAAAGGGAGAGAAGACACTCATTCTCTCGGGTGGGTCACTTTCTCGACTACAACTCCATAGGCGATTGTAAAATTAATAGAAATTTTATGCCCGACTTCCTACACAAAACATAATATGAAACTCATTTGATCACTGTAATTTGCATTATGTCAAAGTTATCGCATTTACTGCCTTAAAGTAGGAAATTTATTACACACACCAGCGAGAGAGAAATTTAATTTTATGCAGACTTGAAATTGAAGATGTTTAGATTCCAGCGAGCAATTATGATATCAAAGAGCTGTAGGATCTTTCAAACAGAATTCGAAATGATTGCCTTCAAAGGGAACGTAATTGAAAGACCGCGTATGATTAAAGTTTGGCAAACTAAGATAAACTAAAATAAACTGAGATATTGTAAACACGAACCAATAAAAATGCTGTCAATAAAGTGATACCATCGAGCTTTCAGGTCACCGTGTATATAAGGGAGCGAGATCAAACCCAGCCACGAGAAAGTAAGAGGCTCGGCTCGTTCGATTTTATTTTCGACCACCGACATACTCGCTGGGAATGTGAGAAATAAAACAAAACACTGGAACTCGCCACTCTCTCTCACCTGCCACGATGTACAGTTCGGGTGATTCCGCTGAATCGCAATCTCACTTCCCCTTTCCATTACCGCGCCCAAACGATCGACCGGATGCTGCCGAGATCCGCATCGTTTCCTTTCATTTGCCTTGCCGCGTACATCCCCAAAAGGTCGAAAACTGCCGATCGGATTAAAATACGTTCACCTATCGTACATTGACCCGCGTTTACGATACGTCACTCGACACGAGCGCAAGATTTTCATCCAGGATATCATCTAGTTGATATTTAAATAGAAAGGACTTTCAAACAAGTTGGTATTTCGCAAAATGATCGTATCGGTTACGAGATTTGGCAAATGAGACGCGCACGATGTGAATATAAAGAAGGAAGAACGAAAGTCACGCGTGGAACAACAACAATATTTTATTACTAACAATGACAAAATGGGTACAAAATTTGCATAAACGTAGGACGTAAAAGTCTAATAAATATCATTGCGATATGTCATAGGTGACAAAGATCGTGACATCGGAATTCCTTCGAAGTAAAAAACGAATAAAAGTGGTACGTTGTAACGTGAAGATCGTATATTGTATTATAGAATATGCTATGAGGTACGGCATCTTGCGCGATCTGTCAGAAAAGCGCATGATTCTTTTTTTAAATTAACCCTTATATCGAAGACACACTGATGGCAATCGTTGAAAAAGTGAGAGAAGAACGCTTAATTAAATTATAAATATCGTATCGACGCTAATCTTATTCAACTACTGATATAGAAATAAAACTCTGAAAAAACAAATTATAACACCATAGCAACGGGACTTCTTCCACTTCCCTTTCACTTTCTTAATCTCCGGAGATTTATGTCTTTTTCGTTTTAGCACCGAAATTTGTATTGTCCAAATTATTCTGGTACTGCTGCGATTGCCGCTGAGAGGTTGTTTGCGATGGGTTATAGCTGGTATATTGGTAATTGTACCCACGAGGTGTTTGCCTCGTGACATAATTTTGATTCTGATAAGACTGGACCGGATTTATATCGTAACTCTGCTGCTGTTTATCAGACGCGTAATCGTCTTGGATATCTTGAGAGGACGAGTTCTCGTAATTTTCGTACTTGTCGTACTCGTTGGACTGGGTTTGATCTTCTTCGGGCTTCTCGATCCCTGTATACACATCTGGGGCTAAGGATGAATACTTTATGTTTTTCAATTGAGATTTCGCTGTCTGTGCGATTTGCGCAGTTGCTTCTCCAACGTTCAATTTCCTAAGAACCGTAGGATTTACTACGTAAGTTAAACCAGTCTTAGCGATTATGTTAGAAACAGGAACGTAACGCGTATTTTTGCTTCGTTCGTTTTGATTCACGTCTTGATCATCGTTCGCAATGATCACGCTATTTTTGGTCGATTCACGTGCTGGATATTCAGGAACATGTTGCAAATTTTGAGCCAATAGCTTGACCAAATCGTGATGATTCATAAGTTCTTCCATTTGCTGAGCATTCACGTAAGATGCTGGCAAAGGATAATCAGGACCTACCGGTTGTCCCGCAACGCTGATTACTCTGTAGGTCGTTTTCGGTAATGGAATTGGAATATTTTTAATCAGGATGCTGTTCGTTTGTTCCAACTGATTCTGGAAACTGCTGGTTTTCTGCGTACTTGATTGACTATCGAGATCCTTCGAATTTGCAGAAATGTAGTTGGCTCCATCGACAAATTGAACGTCGTTAATCTTGTAGTTGTTATCACCGCCGAGTTTCTTGTCTTTATTTCTGCCGTTAGATTCCATATTGGAATACTTTGCGCCAGAGTAATCGATAGCAGGTGGTGGTAATGGTGGCGGCGGAAATAATGGCCGGTTATAGTAATCGGCGTAATAATAGGGAGATTGGTAATAATAATTAGGATAGGCGGACGAGTAAGGCATTGTTGAATAAGAGGACGAAGGTATCGTGTAGGGGGACGAGTAGGAATTGTATGTGTTGTAAGGGCTTGTTGGGTATGAATATGGAACGGAACCGTAGTATGCGTAAGTAGATGACGAAGGAATTTTGTTATATGGGTTGTAATTAGAGTTGTAAGGATCTCGAGGGTTAGCGCTGAAGCTGACGCTATAGGAGTCCTTGGCATCGACTTTGGGCGCGTATAATTCCGGAGATGGTTGCGTAACGGTGTCTTTCTCGATTCCTCTTTTAATTAATTTAGGACTGTAGGGATAGACCGGATATATCGGTAGAAAGGGCTCGTCATTTGGATCGTTGTTCTTCTCGTATCCTTGAACGTAAGTCGACGTAATCGTCGACGACAGTAGAAACAATAGCTGAAATTCGAAGTATAAATCAAGCTATCGGTTCGATACACGTTCGATCGCGCGCTTATGAATTAAAAATAAAGGAAAATTTATACTGACCAACAAGTCCATATCGATCAACCGTCGCTATCGCCTGCCAACGATTAACAGGATTCGATCGATGTGTTAGTTTCTCCGCGTTATCTCATTCGCTTGTCGCGTTCACCGTTCACTGCCGTCCGACCGGGATACTCGGGATCGAACAGATCGAATCGGCACGCCGGCGCGATGTCTAATGACGTATCGGTCGACATTGAATTTCTCCTTTATACTCGGCCGGCTGAAAAATCGTGAAAACTAGTTTAACGTTTCTCCGTTCTTATATGTAGATCCGAGCGTAGCCGGTGCACGCCCGGTTCAACGAGACCGGCTAGTAAA